TACCTGATCAGAAATGGCATTCACAGGCGTGACAGCAATCATAGCACAGTGATCAAACTCAGTCACTGAAAAAGTAGCATGTTCATCCCCAGCACGCAAGATCAACTTACCATCATGCACATCAATAAGTGCCTTGGCAGTGGCAAGAAATGGCCTACCTAGAATCAAAGGCACATCCACATCCTCATTTACATCCAGAATAACAAAATCAACAGGATATGTGAATGCACCAACATGAACAAGCAGATCCTCTATGATTCCCCTAGGATGCACAATAGAACGATCAGCTAATTGAATGCTCATCCTAGTAGGGCTAAGTTCACCTAGGTCTAGCATTTTATACAACTTATATGGCATGACGTTTATGCTAGCGCCTAGGTCCGCCAAGGACTTTCCTACATGCATGCTGCCAATAGTAAGAGGGATAGTAAAACTCCCTGGATCCTTGCGCTTCTCAGGCAGCTTGTTCCGCAGGATAGCAGAACACTCCTCACTGAGCATCACTGTCAAAAGATCCCCTAGTTTCTTCTTGTTGGTGCAGATATCTTTCATGAACTTGGCATACTTGGGCATTTTCGACAGTGCCTCCATGAACGGTATGCTGATGTTGAGCTACTTCAACATTGCCATGAACTTGGCAAACTCAGTCTCCAGCTTGTCTTTGTGTAGGCGAGTGGGGAAGGGAAGCTGGGGTACATGCTCCTTAACCACTGGTTGTGGCTTGGGAGCAGGGGCTTCCTTCTCCACCCGCACTTCTGCATCGTCGGCTGGAAGTGCTGGAGCAGGCAGTGGTTCCTCCTGTCTGGCCGGGACAGGATCAGCAGATATGGTCTTACCGCTCCTGGTAAAAATGGCATCCAGCTGCTGATGCTGGTGAGGATCTCGAGGATTCGGAACAGTGGTGGCAGGCAGAGTCCCCGGTGCCCTGGTAGTGTTTTGGCGGGCCAAGATGCCCACCTGGGTCTGCAAATCCTGCAAAATGGCACCCTGGTTCCTCTGACCTGCCTCTAGTGAGGCTACACTCTGGTCCAACCTCGTGATAGTCGCCTGAGTGCTCGTCATGAATGAAGCTAGAATGTTTTCCAGCTTCGTCATCCTGTCATCTGGGGCTGGAGCTGCTGCTGGCTTGGCAAACTGGCGCTGGGGCTGCTGGAATGGCTGCCCCTGCCTGGGCTGGTAGGGCTGCTGTGGGTCTGGCCCCTGTCGAGCCTGGAAGGGCTGCCTCTGCTGAAAACCACCTGCTGGTGCTGGGAAACCAGGTGGTTTAGTGGTGTTGCTGCTCCAGGCGAAGTTGGGATGTTGGCGCCACCCCTCATTATATGTGCTGCTGTATGGATCGAGGCGCCTCGCATTGGCGATGAAGGCCAACTGCTCCTGGGGTGTGGTAGACTCCCTCATAGCCTGGCAGTCCTCCACTAGGTGACTGGAGCTCTCACACCACTGACACTGAGCAACTGGAGGTGTAGCCAAACCTCTGCCCGGAATCAGACTGTTGGGCTGCTTCAATGTCTGCACTAGCTCAGCTACCTGCTGCTCGAGCCCGGATCTGGTCTCCATGGCGTGCACACCACGGTCTCGGGACTGTCTGCCTCGGCTACCCTGTCCCCAAGAATGATCTCTGGCAGCCAAAGTGCTGATCATCTGGTTCAGCTCGGGTGGAGTCTTAGTGAGAATATCTCCTCGTGGGCATAGAGACTCAATCACCCTCTGGCTATCTGGAGAAAGGGCACTGTAGAAGTTCCCCACTGTGAATGCATCGCTGAAGCCATGATGGGGGCACTGCCAGAAATAGCCCATATACCGCTCCCAAGCGTCACGAAGTGACTCCTCTGGCTCCTGGCGGAAGTGAGTGATCTCCCGCTGAATCTCTGTGGTCTTCGATGCCGGATAATACCTGTGCACGAATTTGTCCGCCAGATCGTCCCAAGAGGTGATGGACAATGGGGGCTGGGTCTCCAACCACCTCTTAGCATTCCCGCCAGAGAATGGGGGAAGAGATGAAGGCGGATTGCATCATCCGGGACACCATTCAGCTTGAACCCGTTTGTCAGCTGCAGAAAACGGGAAAGATGCACCCTGGCCTCCTCATTCTTCAAGCCATGGAACTGGATAGAAGATGTGATGAGCTGAATCCAGCATGGCTTGATCTTGAAGTTGTTTGCTGGGATCGGCGGGTAGAGGATGACCGGGCGGATGTCAGCAATCCGCGGAGTGTAGTAGTACTCCAGGGTGGGACCCGGCTGCGCTGGATGATGAACTCCATGATCCTGGGGTATGGGGTTGTTCCCCAGGACCTGATTCACCGGGGGAACCTGCTGTGGATTCCCCTGGTGCTGGTTGTAATCTCCGTCCATCCCGTGCTCTTCTTCAGAATCGCTGCTCAGGTGGCCGTCTATGCGCTCTTCCGTAGCCAGTCTAGCTCGCTGTTGTCTCCTGAGCTGGCGACAGGTGCGGTCAATCTCTGAATTCAACGGTAGTAAACCTCCCGACTGGCTACGGGTCATGCACTACCTGCACACACTCAAGCAAGCACACCCGTGAAGGCACAAGTGGGACAAAGCAAACAAAGCAAAAAGAAAAGCTAAATTAACAGAAATCACTTTTCTTCAACAACCTAGCCTTCCCCGGCAACGTTGCCAAAAACTTGACTCGACTCTACTGTCACCCTAGGAATTGGCCAAGTGAAACCACTTCCTAAAGCGTAGTATAGCGGGTTAGGTTTATATGTCAACCCGGGTCCTAGATTTGATGACTACTCAGTGAATTCTTGTTATCTAGCAATGAAACTGGAATGCAAGTCTAAACTACCAAACAAACAAAGCAAGTAAACTGTTGTATTCAGGTTAAGAGAGGTCACCCGGATATGGTTCCCCCTAGACTGCAGTTAAGCCGGATTGTAATTCCCAAGTTCAGTTTCTATGACAGTTATACTGCGGAAGGTTCTTAAACAGCCTGAAGTCTCGACTAAAGGTCTTCAGACCCTCCCAATCTGACTCTCTAGCGGGCGACTAACCTCCACCGGAGTCGACAGATTGAGGCCCTAAGAACAAAACCTCCACTACCGGAGTAAATCCGGTACAGAATAGTGAGTTGGTTCCTCGACTAAAGTCACCAACTCCCTACCTTCAATCAAGGATACTCTATTAACCTAGGCAGATATTCTCATTCTAGGTTAAAGCAGAAACAATAGGAATTTGATCAGGATTCAAGTCATTCAAACATTAAAACCTCAATCGAATATAATCAATCACAGAATCAATACTTGGGTTCATACAATCAAAGCCTAACATACAAATCTAGGGTTCTCCATACCCAGATGAATGGGAGAACTACTCCATAGAGAAGAAAACAAAAGCAGAATCAGACACGGAATTCATACTGCGAAGGATGGATTCCTGCTTCTAGACATTGATTGGCACTTCTCCAAGCTCAAGCTGGCCTCCAATGGTGTTGAAGATCAATCTAGGGCACTTGGGAACTCATGCTCGTCACTTTCTCTCTCTAGAAGTCGTTCTTTCTCTCAAAAACTCGAATCCCCTTGAGTTGTGGCTGAAAATCTGCTTAAAAGCATCAGTGGCCAAAGCACGGTCGAGGGCACGGCCGTGCTTTGCCTGAGCCTGCCCGTGTTTCGGCCAGTGTTTAATTACACGGCCAGCAGCTGTTGGAAACACGGCCGTGCTTCGCGAGGTACACGGCCGTGCTTTGCCTGAACACGGCCGTGCTTCAGTGCCCGTGTTTGCAACTGAATTGGCCAAACCAAATTTGCTCTCGGCATAAAAAGCACGGCCAGAGGTACACGGCCGTGTAATGCCTTCGGCTGCCCGTGTTTTGGCTCCAGCTCACCGAAATGACTTCCGAATGCCCCGAAACTCGCGGTTAGCCTTCCCTTTGACGCCTGGGACCTGAAACACGACAAAATAGCACAACCCGGCGTAAAATAGGCCAAAACACACGACCATGCCCCTAAAACGGATAAGAACTAGGGGCGCAAATATGTGCAATTACATCGTTATCAAATTCCCCCACACTTAACCGTTTGCTTGTCCCCAAGCAAACCTAACTCAAACCAATGCAACTCTCCAGACCTCTATAGCAACAAACAACCTAGATCGTAGGTAGAGGACTTCCTAGATCATTTAGCAACTTACGAGGTCAACCGACGCACAAGTCATCTCATAGCTTCCTCGGCGAGTCGGCATCATGACAAACAGTGAACCGAGGACAAATGAATCATGGATGAAGAGATTCTCAAAAACAACAGATCATGGACTCACATTTTTCAAGGTGCTCTATTTTCTGCTTAAGGATGGTTGGAACCCCTTTTCTTTCTGTTTTGCTTGTTTTCTGTTATTTTCTTTTCTTTTCTTTTCAAGAGTCCCAACCTGCTCTTACCGGCCATGCCAGGAGCGGATGTCTCGAGCCTCGTGCGGGGGAAAGACATGTAAGGGGGCTGGAGGTAGTAGGTGGAAATTGGGAACGGATTCCCGTCTCCCCTTACACATTTTCGCCCTATTCGCACGGGAGACATTTATTTTGAAGCACATTTTCGAGCACCTGTTATTTTCAAAACATGACACAAGAGTCCATGACAGGCAGAGAATCCACAACACCACACAATTCAAGGGTCCTAAGATCACAGGTGGTATTTCTGGAAAAAGTCCAAAAGTTAACGGAGACTAAAGGCCAGTGACCAAATTTGGAGTATGTAACTAATATGAGTGACTACGGATGGAATAAATTAATCTCAATGGCAAACATGAAATTTTATAGAAATTCTAGTAACCAAACTTGCAATTTACCCAATAAAAAGGATTTTAAATTTTGAATTTGTGGGTCCCTTTTCTGAGTTGGGTCATGGGAATGAGCCAGCCGAACCGATCAGCTGCCCTCCTCCTCTCACATACCCAACCAATCGTTCCCAACCGTCGGATATTGGCTTGCCCACGTGTACACCAATCTGTCCCTATTAGTATATACTTAAAAAAAACCCTGTTAGCACCATAACTAAGTTGCTCCAACAGTCTATTCTTCCCCTTCCATCTCTCTCTCTGACGAGAAGAAGAACAAAAACCCTTCTTTGATATGCCTTTCCTCATTCAAACCCTTTCATCTATTCCCACTCTTTCTTCTTGTTCCTCTTATCTCCTAATTCCTTCTTCCTTTCTGGTAATGACGAGCGGAGGACGGGAAAAGGAAAGACGATGTCGACGCCAGCGATGCTGATGGTTGCGCAGCAAAGGTAAGAAGTGATTTATTTGACTTGCAGGTAGAGTTTGGGTTTGACTTTGGTGTTGTTTAAGGTTCTGATTGTGTGTTTGGTTCTGATCTGGTTCAGCTCGGGTGGAGTCTTAGTGAGAATATCCCCTCCTGGGCATAGAGACTCAATCACCCTCTGGCTATCTGGAGAGAGAGCACTGTAGAAGTTCCCCACTGTGAATGCATCACTGAAGCCATGATGGGGACACTGCCAGAAATATCCCATGTACCGCTCCCATGCATCACGAAGTGATTCATCTGGCTCTTGGCGGAAGTGAGTGATCTCCCGCTGGATCTCTGTAGTCTTTGATGCCAGATAGTACCTGTGCACGAACTTATCAGCCAGATCATCCCAAGAAGTGATGGACAATGGGGGCTGGGTCTCCAACCACCTCTTGGCATTCCCCGCCAGAGAGTGGGGAAAGAGGTGAAGGCGGATTGCATCATCAGGGACACCGTTCAGCTTGAGCCCGTTCGTTAGCTGCAGAAAACGGGAAAGATGTACCTTGGCCTCCTCATCCTTCAAGCCATGGAACTGGATAGAGGATGTAATGAGCTGAATCCGTCATGGCTTGATTTCAAAGTTGTTTGCTGGAATAGGTGGGTAGAGGATGACCGGGCGGATGTCAGCAATCCGTGGAGTGTAGTAGTACTCCAAGGTGGGACCCAGCGGCGGTGGATGATGATGAACCCCATGATCCTGGGGTATGGGGTTGTTCCCCAGGACCTGATTCACCGGGGGAGCCTGCTGAGGATTCCCCTAGTGTGGATTGTATTCTCCGTCCATCCCGTACTCTTCCTCAGAATCGCTACTCAGGTGGCCGTCTATGCGCTCTTCCGTAGCCAGTCTAGCTCGCTGTTGTCTCCTGAGTTGGCGACAGGTGCGGTCAATCTCTGGATTCAACGGAAGTAAACCTCCCGACTGGCTAGGGGTCATGCACTACCTGCACACACTCAAGAAAGCAAACCCGTGAAGGCACAAGTGGGACAAAGCAAACAATGCGAAAAGAAAAGCTAAATTAACAGAAATCACTTTTCTTCAACAACCTAGCCGTCCCCAGCAACGGCGCCAAAAACTTGACTCACTTCTACTGTCACTCCAGGAATTGGCCAAGTGTAACCACTTCCTAAAGCGTAGTATAGCGGGTTTGGGTTTAAATGTCAACCCATGTCCTAGATTTGATGACTACTCGGTGAATTCTTGTTATCTAGCAATGAAACTTTAATGCAAGTCTAAACTAACAAACTAACCAAGCAAGTAAACTGTTGTTTTCAGGTTAAGAGAGGTCACCCGGATATGGTTCCCCCTAGACTGCAGTTAAGCCGGATTGCAATTACCAAGTTCAGTTTCTATGATAGTTATACTGCGGAAGGTTCTTAAACAGCCTGAAGTCTCGACTAAAGGTCTTCAGACCCTCTCAATCTGAGTCTCTAGCGGGCGACTAACCTCCACCGGAGTAAACAAATTGAGGCCCTAACAACAAAACCTCCACTACCGAAGTGAATTCGGTACAGAATAGTGAGTTGGCTTCTCGACTAAAGTCACCAACTCCCTACCTTCAATCAAGGATGCTCTATCAACCTAGGCAGATATTCTCATTCTAGGTTAAAGCAAAAACAACAGGAATATGATTAGGATTCATGCCATTCAATCATTCAAACCTCAATTGAATATAATCAAATCATAGAATCAGTACTTGGGTTCATACAATCAAACCTAACATACAAATCTAGGGTTCTCCATACCCAGATGAATGGGAGAACTACTCCATGGAGAAAGAAGCAAAAGCAGAATCAGACGCGGAATTCATACTGTGAAGGATGGATTCCTGCTCCTGGACGTTGATCGGCACTTCTCCAAGCTCAAGCCAAGCTCTAATGGTGATGAAGATCAAGCTAGGGCACTTGGAGACTCTTGTTCGTCGCTTTTTCTCTCTAGGAATTGCTCTGTCTCTCTAAAACTCGAATCCCCTTCTCTTTTGGCTGAAATCTTCTTAAAAGGGCATCACTGGGCAAAGCACGGTCGAGGGCACGGCCGTGCTTTGCCTCAGCCCGCCCGTGCTTTGGCTAGAGTTAATTACACGGCCAGCTTGTTGGGAGAAACACGGTCTTGCTTTTGGGTGGACACGGCCGTGCTTGTGGTGGCCACGGCCGTGCTTTGTTTCAGCCCTGCCCGTGTTTTTAGCCAATGTTTGCCAAACTCAGATTAGCTCTCGGCAGTAAAAGCACGGCCAAGGAACACGGCCGTGTTCTGCTTTAGGTGTGCCCGTGTTTTGGCTCCAGCTCCACCGAATGACTTCCGAATGCCCCGAAACTCGTGCTTAGCCTTCCCTTTGACGCCTGGGACCTGAAATATGACAAAGTAGCACAACCTGACGTAAAATAGGCCAAAAATACACGACTATGCCCCTCAAACGGATAAGAACTAGGGGCACAAATATGTGCAATTACATCGTTATCAAATTCCCCCACACTTAACCGTTTGCTTGTCCCCAAGCAAACCTAACTCAAACCAATGCAACTCTATAGACCTCTATAGCAACAAACAACCCAGATCGTAGGTGGGGGACTTCCTAGATCATTTAGCAGCTTACGAGGTCAACCGACGCACAAGTCATCTCATAGCTTCTTCGGCGAGAACGCTAGTCTCGAGTCGACATCATGGCAAATAGTGAACAGAGGACAAATGAATTGTGGATGAAGAGATTCTAAAAAACAAAGGATCATGGACTCACATTTTTCAAGGTGCTCTATTTTCTATGAAGATGGTTGGAACCCCTTTTCTTTCTGTTTTGCTTGTTTTCTGTTATTTTTTCTTTACTTTTTTTCAAGGGTCCCAACCTGCTTTTCAGAAAAAGGGGGCTCCCACCTAGCAGAGGTTTTGCGGGAGCCCGGCTCTTACCTGCCATGCCAGGAACGGATGTCTCGAGCCTCGTGCGGGGGAAAGACATGTAAGGGGGCTGGAGGTAGTAGGTGGAAATTGGAAACGAATTACCGTCTCCCCTTACACACTTTCGCCCTATTCGCACGGGAGACGTTATTTTAAAGCACATTTTCGAGCACCTGTTAAACTCAAAACCTGAAACAAGAGTCCATGACAGGTAGAGAGTCCACAACACCACACAATTCAGGGGTCCTAAGATCACTAATTCACTCAATCAACCAACACAATATGAAGGAGCAATGAGACTTCTTAAATGCATCAACATCCTCCATAGTGCTACACTACCTCCCTAGGCTGCATATTACTATAAAGACTGTCAATTCAAAGCATACTGAGCAGGCAATTGCAAGGAACACGTACTTGGAGCCCTCAAATTTAAATTTAAAAATTTGGACAGTGGACTAGGCTCCAAGCACACAAACAGATCTAATGCAGTCAAAAGATAAACATCCCCCCCACACTTAAGATCGACATTGCTCTCAATGGAGAAGAGGGAAGGGAAAGGGGAACGATGTTACCAGTATGCACGGACTGCAGGAGACTGGAAGCGGACCAGTCAGAGTGAAGCGGACTGGAGAGAGGACCAGTCAAGAGAAGCACAGCTAAAGGAAACCAAAGAGCTCAAACACAATATGTTAGGTCCAATGGTCAGCCCAATAATACATCATCCAAAACAAAAAAACAAACCAAAACCAAACCGATTTACAATCCGACTCAAAACACAAGAAAGAAAGTCAAACCGTGGTGGGGTTGCCTCCCCACAAGCGCTTCTTTACCGTCTTTTAGCTGGATGCCCATGGTGGATACTCAGGGAGGTGCATGAACAGGTGCCTCCAAGAGCGGATCCACGTCGCCCTTGAGGTACAGCTTTAGGTTGTGGCCATGCACCCGACGGATGCGACCACCATCATCGGTCAGCTCGACCTGGCCATCCGGCAAGATGCAGGCGAGTGAGTACCCGGACGGCCAGGGTGGTCGTGGTGCAGGAGGTGGAACCAGCTCGTAGTGGTCTCCACCCTTCTTCCGTGCAGGCTTAGCAACCTGCTGCTTCGGCTGCCACTCCTCCTGGATCTTTTTGTTCGGAGGCGAGGTTGGATGGAGTGGCGACGAAGGAATGATAGGAGGGTCCTGCAAAATGAGAGGTGCAGAAGGATACACGACAGGTTCTTGTACCTGATCAGAAATGGCATGTACAGGCGTGACAGCAAGCATAGCACAGTGATCGAATTCAGTCACAGAGAAAGTAGCCTGTTCGTTCGCAGCACGCAAGATCAGTTTACCATCATGCACATCAATAAGTGCCTTGGCGGTGGCAAGAAATGGTCTACCTAGAATCAAAGGCACATCCACATCCTCATGTACATCAAGAATAACAAAATAAACAGGATATGTGAATGCACCTACATTAACTAGTAGATTGATGACTCGATATTTGCACATGTTTTCCCTTTTGTTTCTTGATCGTTTAAGCTTGCATTATTGCTTCTTTGGCCTATTTTACGCTAGGTTGTGTTCCTTTGTCACATTTCAGGTCCTAGCACATAAAGTGAAGCGTAGGCGCAAGTTTCAAGTCAATCGGAGATCAATTGGCCACTCGGGGGAAGAAACTCGGGTATGACTTGAAGAAGAAGGGATTTCTACCCCAGTTTGTGACCATATAATCATGTAATCTTGTCATGAGAAGAAAGAGGACGAGAATACGAGCGTCTGGGATCAAACGGCACCTGATTTGGAGTCCGAACGAGGGAGAAACGAAGAATCAAAGATAGGGGAAAATTGGTTTCGGGCTTCTCTGAGAAACAGAAGGGGGCCCTATCGTGAAGCTAAAATCCCCGGTAGGGGATTTTTGGCCTTGATAGGGGATTTTCCCAAGAATCCCCGGTCGTGAACTAAAATCCCCGGTCGTGACCCAAAAATCCCCTATCGTGAACCAAAAAATCCCCTGTCGTGACCTAAAATACCCTACCGGGTATTTTGACCGGGGATCGCGAACACAGGCTGTTAAAAGCCTGTTTTGTGCGTTTTTGCAAGGTAGAGCTGGGTTTTGGATCCCAAACACCCTAGGGACGAACCAAAGAGAGATAGGGCGATTTGAGGGCATTCTTGGAGTGGATCTGGAGGATTTCTTTGCCTTGGAAGCTCGAGGAACAAGCCCGGACTTGAAGACTGATCATCTGAAGAATCTTACTGCAGTCTCTCTCTTCTCTATGGAGTAACTTCCCTTCACTTAGGTTTTGAGGAACCCTAGCTATGTTTGTTTGATTGGATGATTGTATGATTACTCTGACTTGATAATCTTGAGTTCATATTCAATCTATGCATGTTTTCATGATTCAATTCTGCTTTAGTCAAGATTATTGATTCTGCTTTGATCCTATGAGAGGGAATACCTGATTAGGTCAATAGAGCACCATAGATTGATAGTAGTGGATCGATTGCTTTAGTCGAGGGTTGATTCACTGCTTTGTATCGATTGAGAACCTCTTTCGATAGAGGGAGTCTAGTTCAGAACGCCTTGATCAGTTGTTCTAGAGAAGGATACGTCCCTCTAGGCAATTGACTCAAGAGGGCCTTGTTCCTTTAGTCGAGACTCAAGGTCTAGTCAAGGATTCTCCGCATTGTGAATGAAAGTGAAACAAGTTAGAAATCATCAATCGTTAGTCTGGCTAGTGGCTAGGGGGAATCATACCTAAGTGAGTTCCCAACCTGTAATTAGATTAACTTTAACTGTAGTTTGCTAGAGTAGTTTTAGTTCTTTCATCTTAATCTGGTTTGCTAAATAATAAACTGAAGCTGAGTAATAATAACTCTAGAGACCCGTGGATTCGATATTTATCACTTGAGCCACTATACTGCATCCCTTCCATTGGTTACACTTGGCCATTGTTAGGTGTTGTGTCATAGCGAGCCAAGTTTTTGGCGCCGTTGCCGGGGACTTTCTAGAGTATTAGGAAAGGCAGAAGTTTGTTACTTTAGCGTTTTTCTTTTCTTTTCTTTTCCACCCTTGCTTTTCACTTGGGTGTTTTTGTTTTTGTTGGTGCAGATCTAAATCATGGATCCTCATGGCTTCTCCAACAATTGGGGGTATCCACCACCACCCGAGTGGTATTACCTTGAGACTCCCTGGAGCAATCAAGGAGGAGAAGAATATGGATTCGGGTTCCAGTACCAACCCCCTTACTACGGAGAACAACCGGACCCCTGGCCTTATCAAGAACAACCTAATTACCAAGAAGAATTTTTCCCACAACCAGAGGGGCCATTGGAGCTGGAGTTACCCATGGCGGCCTTCACGGGCCATTCTGCAGAGCCATGCTACACTCCACAGCCAGATCCACACTATGAATTGAGACTTCTCATGGAGCAGTTTGCTCGAGACTGTGATAGAACATGCTCCAGGATGGATCATTGTGTCCAGGCCTATCGTGAAACAGAGGAGATCCTCCTGAGCCTTAAGAAGAGCGTCGATGATCTTGAGAGATCTTGGACACAACCTGATCCAGATCACCCTTCTACTACCATACTAGAAGAGGAGGAGGAAGAAGAAGGCTACAAGGACATTGTGGAGCACACTTAAGATGTCACGGAGAGCTCCCGTGATGATCATGATCAGGAATGTCCTGTCATAGCCAACCACACCTTCCCACACCCCAAACTGAGCTTTGAAGAGGCGGGCATGAGTGAGGAGATGCGAGAAGATCTCATGAAAGAAATTGCTTGGCAACTTGCTCTCCAATCCGTGCTAGAAGAAGAAGAGCAAGAAAGGGTGCAGAAAGAAGTTGTGGAGGATGACGAAAGTGAAGCTGGAGGAGTTCTTGATCATTTCCCAGGGGTGATACCACATGAAGAAGGAAGGGAGGTTGAAGAAGCAATTGGCATCCAGGCTGAGGACGAAGTTGAGGTGGAAGAGGCTTGCACCGGCCATGAGTTACATTTGATATCTCCACCAAACTTCGAGGAACTGCTTAGCAAGGACCCATTTGCAGTGTCTCTTTGCCAGACCAAGGCCACATCAACATCGGTCCCTCTTGGTGGACGCGATGGTGGTCAATCGATGCTGTCATATCTGGTTTGGGGCAATGAGACGAGAGAAGAGAAGAAGAGGTCTCGAGGGTGGAGATGTTATCTGCATCAAGTGCACGAGCTTCCATCACCTGTCATACCACATGCTCGTGACTTGAGACTCCACCTCATAGACGAGAACCTCAACTTCAAAGAGGTTTTGGGGTGGACCGAAACTTAGGAGCCATCGTCTGGCTCATGACGTGAAAGAAGCGCTTGTTGGGAGGCAACCCAACCAGTCGGTTTGCATTTCTTTCTCTTTTTCTCCTCGGTTGAGTCAGTTTTGTTATTTGATTTTAGAGTCAATAATTCAACCTTTGTGAGATTTTGTGTGGTGTTTGTGGTCTGACCATTCTATCCTCCTGGAATACGCCACCTGCCCCGTCCACCATCATTCACCCTGGATCTGGTAACTTCGTTCTACCCTCCTTATCTTTCCTCCATTGAGGACAATGTCGTGCTTAAGTGTGGGGGGATGTTCGATTATGTATCCGTGTGAATGTTTGACTGTTTGTGTGCTTGGAGCCTAGTCCACTGTCCAAATTTCGATTTGAGGGCTCCAAGTACATGTTCATTGCAATTGCCTGCTCAGTATGCTTTGAATTGATAGTCTTTATAGTAATATGCAACCTAGGGAGGTAGTGTAGCACTATGGAGGATGTTGATGCATTTAAGAAGTCTCATTTCTTCTTCATATTGTGTTGGTTGATTGAGTGAATTAGTGATCTTAGGACCCTTGAATTGTGTGGTGTTGTGGACTCTCTACCTGTCATGGACTCTTGTATCATGTTTTGAAATAAAAGGTGCTCGATAATGTGCTTTAAAATAACGTCTCCCGTGCGAATAGGGCGAAAGTGTGTAAGGGGAGACGGGAATTCGTTCCCAATTTCCACCTACTACCTCCAGCCCTCTTACATTCCTTTTCCCCGCTCGAGGCTCGAGACATTCGCTCCCGGCATGGCCGGTAAGAGCCGGGTTCCCGCAAAACCTTTGCTAGGTGGGAGCCCCGTTTTCTGAAAATCGGGTTGGAACCCTTGAAAAAGAAAGAAAAAAAAGAGAACAAAAGAAAAGGAAAAAAAAGGGGTTCCAACCATCTTCAAAAAGAAAATAAGAGCACCTTGAAAAATGTGAGTCCATGATCTTTAGTTTTTGAGAGTCTCTTCGTCCACGATTCATTTGTCCTCTGATCACTATTTGCCATGATGCCGACTCGAGACTAGCGTTCTCGCCGAAGAAGCTATGAGATGACTTGTGCATCGGTTGACCTCGTAAGCTGCTAAATGATCTAGAAAATCCTCTATCAAGGATCGAGGGTGCATGTTGCTATAGAGGTCTGGAGAGCTGCATTGGTTTGAGTTAGGTTTGCTTGGGGACAAGCAAACGGTTAAGTGTGGGGGGATTTGATGACTCGATATTTGCACTTGTTTTCCCTTTTGTTTCTTGATCGTTTAAGCTTGCATTATTGCTTCTTTGGCCTATTTTACGCTAGGTTGTGTTCCTTTGTCACATTTCAGGTCCTAGCACATAAAGTGAAGCGTAGGCGCAAGTTTCAAGTCAATCGGAGATCAATTGGCGACTCGGGGGAAGAAACTCGGGTATGACTTGAAGAAGAAGGGATTTCTACCCCAGTTTGTGACCATATAATCATGTAATATTGTCTTGAGAAGAAAGAGGACGAGAATACGAGTGTCTGGGATCAAACGGCACCTTATTTGGAGTCCGAACGAGGGAGAAACGATGAATCAAAGATAGGCGAAAATTGGTTTTGGGCTTCTCTGAGAAACAGAAGGGGGCCCTATCGTGAACCAAAAATTCCCGGTCGTGAACTAAAATCCCCGGTCGTGACCCAAAAATCCCCTATCGTGAAACAAAAAATCCCCTGTCGTGACCTAAAATACCCTACCGGGTATTTTGACCGGGGATCGCGAACACAGGCTGTTAAAAGCCTGTTTTATGCGTTTTTGCAAGGTAGAGCTGGGTTTTGGATCCCAAACACCCTAGGGACGAACCAAAGAGAGAGAGGGCGATTTGAGGGCATTCTTGGAGTGGAATTGGAGGATTTCTTTGCCTTGGAAGCTCGAGGAACAAGCCCGGACTTGAAGACTGATCATCTGAAGATTCTTACTGCAGTCTCTCTCTTCTCTATGGAGTAACTTCCCTTCACTTAGGTTTTGAGTAACCCTAGCTATGTTTGTTTGATTGGATGATTGTATGATTACTCTGACTTGATAATCTTGAGTTCATATTCAATCTATGCATGTTTTCATGATTCAATTCTACTTTAGTCAAGATTATTGATTCTGCTTTGATCCTATGAGAGGGAATACCTGATTAGGTCAATAGAGCACCATAGATTGATAGTAGTGGATCGATTGCTTTAGTCGAGGGTTGATTCACTGCTTTGTATCGATTGAGAACCTCTTTCGATAGAGGGAGTCTATTTCAGAACGCCTTGATCAGTTGTTCTAGAGAAGGATACGTCCCTCTAGGCAATTGACTTAAGAGGGCCTTGTTCCTTTAGTCGAGACTCAAGGTCTAGTCAAGGATTCTCCGCATTGTGAATGAAAGTGAAACAAGTTAGAAATCATCAATCGTTAGTCTGGCTAGTGGCTAGGGGGAATCATACCTAAGTGAGTTCCCAACCTGTAATTAGATTAACTTTAACTGTAGTTTGCTAGAGTAGTTTTAGTTCTTTCATCTTAATCTGGTTTGCTAAATAATAAACTGAAGCTGAGTAATAATAACTCTAGAGACCCGT